CTGCTGAGTAAGCTGTTCTGAAGGTACTCTATGTGAACAAGAAGGGGCTAGATTGTGACATTTTTGTTGTTGTTAATGTTGTGCCTCCAAGACAGTCATAAACTAGACTTATTTTTCTGTGCCCTGCCCTGCACCCCCTCCCCTCCCAGGTTGGAAGGTTTGAAGTTAACCTCATCAGTCCGGACACCAAATCTGTTGTGCTTGAAAAGAATTTTAAAGATATCTCCTCATGTTCTCAGGTAAGCATTAATAAGAAGCAACATCTAGATCATCAGAAGAAAAGGAATTTATTTGTTCTTTAGCTGGGTTGCCTTGCTGGTCTATAGGCAGCAGAAAAAAAGAAATGTAGAATTCTTCTTCAGCATTCTGTGTTGTTTTCCTTTATTCAGTCTGAAAGGCCATGTTTTAAACAGTTTATCCTATCTAAATTACTGTGAATGAAAGTAAATTGCTGTTTTACCCCACTGGCTCCTTAATTTAAAAAAACAAAAATAAGGGGGCAGGGGAGGGGACTTTGATCAATTGTGACTAACGTATGTACAAATCCTGCATGATGTTTGACACATCACCTTCTTTGGGGAGTACAGCTGAAGAAAATGGATATTAAACTGTGATTGCTTCATGAACACTTGTAGCAGACTTGAGGTACTGATTTGCCTTTACAAAAGTGAGAGCTGTTATTCAAGTCGGGGCTTTCATTTGTCTGCTAGCAGTTCCAAGTAGATACTGCACAAAAATAACGCAATGTCATTCCCAAAGAGCTTAAGTACAGAAAAGATGAGTGCAAAATAAGCAGTCTGAGCTGTGGTAGTGGCAAACTTTGATCATTGGTTAGAAAACAAAGTATAAACTGTTCTGCTTTGGGAGAGCATTGGATGTACTTTTGGAAGTAGCTTAATCTCCGTTTAGGATGCTCTGAGTCTGCTGTCTGTGAGCAGCTAAGTTCCTGAAAGCCTCTGGAATGAAAGGAGGAGAGCATCAGATCAGCCCTCCAGAAAAACAGCAGTTCACCTGCGTCATTTCTTCTGGAGAATCTGGCAGTAGATGAACCAAGCTATGTCCAGTAATAAATAAATGTGTCTTATAAAGTTAAATGTCAAGGCTGAGGGATTCACCTTTCTAGCTTGCTGTTGTTCAGAAGCTGTTACTTCTGGCACTTTCTGTTTTGAGGTCTTGTTTTATTACATTATTCTTTCATTTGCCATGCACATGCATCACTTCAGGCCTCCTTAAACATTATTATTCTAGTTTAAAGTACACTTCCTGGCATGCTCTGAACCTGTATTTCACCCCCAAGTGCTTTCATTTTAACGCTAATAACAAATCTGCTCTTGCATGACTGTGCCACCAATGTTAATACAAATTAAGAACTGGTCAGTACTTGTAACTCAAGTGGAATCTTGAGCTACCAACTAAAGGTCCAGGCCCTTAAGTCGAGTTTGCTGTTAAACTACAATTTGTGCTGCTGTTGGTAGAGAAAAAAGGCAAGTGCAAATATAGAATGGGACAGTATAATCAAACAAAGATGTATTAACAGCTTTATAATAAATACAGATCAAAGAGATTCTTAAAGCAGTGGTATGGAAAGCAAAATCTGCAGACGTCTTGAGTCTTCTCCCGGCTTTGTGGGTGCACTGAGCTGAATAAAAGTGACACTTCAACTTTACGTACTGGGCTCCTGGGTTGCGTGTACATGCTGATAATAGTCGAACAAAACAGTCCGAAGTGGGGACAACCTTTGTTCTGCTGACTCTAAAGCATGGTGGAGACCAGCAAGACCACCTCAGACCTTGATGGCTTAGCTTTCCTTCAGTAAAATAATTATGTACAGTAAATAGTGTTAGGGGTAATGGTGTGTGTTGGGCTTTGGAGGTGGAGTTTTTCACTCCACCTCTTCACTTTCATTTGGAGCAAAGCTTTTGTTACTTCGCATGCTTGAATAGTTCAAATAGGCACTAACAATACTGTGGGGTTTTTGTTGCTTTTTTTTAATGCGAAACAGCTACTTTAGAGAAATTGGGGGGTTTTCTGAGTTCAATAGAAATGAAACATTAATTTGTTCAAGACTAAGGATTTGGTTGCATAAACCTCATCAGTACTTCTATTAAGAACTCAGTGCTAGCCACAGGGCTTCTCTGTTGTGGATTTACAGGGCAGTGATTTACTGTGTATTGTGAGGCTGCAGCTTAGGAATGTTTGTTCTTCTAAGCTTTACAAACAATGAAAAGGAGATGTTCTCTTCAGCTTGCATTCTGGATTCTTTCAGTCTGGTCTAATAAAGGTATTTTTATTCTATAGCTTAAGTATGGTTCATCTGCTGCATTCAGTTCATTATCCGCACTCCATATAATTGTTAAAGCAGCAAATGTAATTGATGATAAACCCCTGTGTGTGCTGTCTACGCTCAGGTGTCAGACAGATGTAGAAGTTTTCTTGTGCAGCCTGACTGACCTTGAAGGAACCCAGAACAACAGAAAAAACTTCAGTCTTTTGGCATGACAAGTCTGGCCACCTCTTAAAGAAATGTGATGGGAGGTACTGTTCACTGAGGAGCGTACTGCGCTAGTTGTGCTTCAGTGGTGCAAGTGTCACATCCATCTCCCCCACAAACGTTCTCCTGTGGAGACTGAGAAATCAGACAGCAGTAGACCTGTTCAGGTGCTGTCAGCAGTGAATCTCACTGAACCACCTTAAGTAAACACGGTCTCTTTGCAAAACAGAGGGCAACACTTCACCATTACATACATCAACGTATGTGTATACATCTGTTCTTTCTCATTTCATGCTTCTGAAGACTTCACATGTCACAGGAAAATGGATTCAATTAAGTCAGGATTAGTGTGGACTATGGTAAACTAATGCCATTTATGCCATTTTAGACACCCTCTGCAGCTTTGTTAAGTTTTGTTTAAGTAACACAAATGTAACTTTTGGAATTTCGTTTTTAAAAACTACAGTGTGTAGTGACAACATATTTAGTCTGTCATGTACTGCATTACCAATTTTGTCTAGTGTTTTCTGTAGTGACAAGTTGTTTTGCTTCATCTCCTTTTTTACAATATAGGTGTTTTCTTTGGAGATGGATCCAAGCAACTGACTTCTGCTTTCTGTTTTATTTGAACTTGATGGATAAGGCTTTCTTTTGGAGAAAATCTACTAATACCATGCTTATATGATAAAAACATTGGCAAAAGCATTAACAATAGTGAGTCATGTTCCATGAATTGAGACTGGGAATATAGTGCTTCTTAGGAAGCAGCTCTCTGATCTTCTCAGTACTGTTTTTAGCAAGGCAACATTCCCTGTCAAGCAGTTAGACTAGGATCTTGAAAGCAAACATCAGTAGTAATGTGTAGTAAGTCTTGAAACTTCTGGTATGTAACTCAGTCTCAAAGAATGTATTTAAGAATTTGGTTGGAATTCTGCATGTCACCACTCATTCCTTGCTCTTTTTGGTGTAGTCCAAATTTGTGTTACAGGAAAGCAAAGATCTCTTGCTACTTTGATTCTACTCCAGTCCTATGTTCTATCGTGGCTCTGCAGTAGAGGCAATTCCAAATACACCCTAGGACTCTCTTGTTCGCTTCCCTGAAAATCCAGTTTTCCTAACGGAAGAAATTCAGGTCCAGGTCTATTGCTGTAGAACTTTTGTTTTGATTGTGTAAAGAGCTTTATGTAACTTTTAAATGCAAAAAGCAATTAAAAAGGTAAATGTTGTAGTTGTAAAATAGATCATTAGGAGTATGCATTTATAGTTTCTAACATGTTTATATTGGCAAGCGTTGGAGTCTGGTAACTATTTTTAGGGTCACTTTTGAAACTGAACCTGTTTATAAAATAGTCCACTAATGCTGTTTTTAAACTCTTTTAGGGTATAAAACATGTTGATCACTTTGGCTTCATTTGCCGGGAGTCTGTTGAACCTGGGTTGAGCCAGTATGTTTGCTATGTGTTCCAGTGTGCAAGTGAGTCTCTGGTGAGTATTTGTTAACGATCCTAACCTTTCCATTGGAGGATGTCTGAGGCATTTCCTAAACCATGGGAGTCTTTGTTATTCTGCTGTGTTAGCTGAGCCTCAGTGGTCACATCTTCTCAGGTATGAGATCTCAGTTGTGAATATGAAAATATGCAATAGAAAATGCATACATTCTGTTCATATGTAGCCATATTCTGGTACTCTGCATATATCAATAACAAATAGAAAAAAAATCAGATGGATGAGTTCACACATGCAGACTGTGAGCATATTTGGGCTCTATATTTGATTGTAGCTCTTGCATTTCTAATTGTTGAGACGCTTGTTTCCCCATTAAACCTGTAATTACATGTATTGAATCAGTAACAAAGCTGATGATAAAACCTGAACATGCTTTTTGGGTAGGGTTTAAACTACTAGCCTGATCCTGCATGTGTCTCTAGCCTGCACGTAGCTTTAGCATTTTCCCTGTAGCCTGTTTTGTTCCTCAGGAGGAGAAAATAGTATCTGATCAGAGAAGAGGAAAACGTAATATGTGTGAAAGTGTAACTATAAAAAAGTCCATTGGACGTTTGATAAAGTATGTATCAATCAGCTGAAGTTCCAGGTGCTAGTGATTTAACTGACACAGGTAGCTTAATAATGCTAGACACATACAGGAAATCATTTTGGCTACTACATTTTTATTTTAAAGCTCAGACACTTTAAAAGAAGTTGTTTTCTGTTCTGAAACATGTTTGTTCCTGATGGCTGTGCTAATGGCTGCTAACTCTTTTTCAGCTAAACTTAAAAATTACTCTTCTAGCTAGCTGAAAATATAATTTGTTAATCCATTGACTAGCTTGAGAGTGAATACATTTACGTCAATAAAACTTCACAGCTAACAGCCCTAGCTGAGGCTGTACTTTTATCAAAATGGGAGCTTGTTATGAAATCAGCTCTATCTTTGTACTAACAGAAAATGTTACATCTGACCTATTGATAAATCTGACCATGCATAATTCAAAGACTTAACATGTGGTGTATAAAGAAACCCCATATTTATGAACCTCTTTACATATTCTAGTACTGATATGGGTATGCCCACATTGCAGTATGAAATGAACATTCCTGAGCTGCTTTCAGATGGAATCACTTGGACCCCAGTGACAGTTTGACTGTGGCAGGGCAGAGCTGTAAAACCTAATGCTTTCTGGATTCTGTGCTGCTAGGCAGGCTGTGTTGGTAGTCTTGTGTGTATTTGGTCTAAACCTAGCTACAGTCTGTGCCACAGTTCTCATGATTTTAGTGCAGTCATAATCCATTTGCTTAGCACTGTTTTGTGGATCTTCCATTTGAGAGGCATTGTTGCCAACTTTTAAAAATTATCAGTCTGTATTGCAAGACTGATATTCGCTGTTCAATGCCCTGCTTTATTGCTAAGAAGAGAGAGCACCCAGGAATTACTGGTAGTGCTTCAAAGTGGGGGGTTAAAAAAAAAACAAAACCAAAACAAAACCCTAAACATATTGGGACACAAACTAATTAAAATTTCCACATTCAGGTGCCCTTCCTCCCCCTCCCCAAGTGACAGACCCTCAAAAAAGTCTGTATGACTTCAGTGTTAGACTGTATGATTTTGGTCTCAAATACTTCAGCTTTCTTCCTGCTTATAAAAAAAGCAACAGGTGAGAGCAAGGACCTGATTCTGAAGTAGAATACTGATTTCTTTCCTAAGATTGTTGTCAAGCTGTTGTGTCCTTCTTTCTATGCTAATGTAAAGACTCAAGTAAATGGCTTTTAAGAAGCAATATATTACCTTAAAATACAGACAGAGGAACTCAAGTGCTTTGCATATAAGGTCTGGGAGTGTATTTGAATGAGTGTGAAGAAATGCTGTTACCTCGACCTTTCTTACCCAAAAGTTGATCTTTTCTAGTGCAGGTGTGTGGGAACATAGCACTGCTGTGTTTGTGGTAGTGGCAGAGGAAAGATCAAGGCAGACTGCAAGGCAGGCTGGCAGTAAAGATAAGTTGATGGTTGTAAGGAAGCTGGTAGCTAGTCTAGTAGCCTGGAGAAAAGTGAACTGCTGTGGGAAGTTCCTGTCTGCCAGCAGGATGGGTCTGTGGGGTTTTGTTCTAAAATGGTACAGCAGTGGGAGGAAAATCATTGAGAGGGAGCATGTGCAGTTTACAGGAGAAACTTGAAGCTAAAGAAAAAGAAATTAATGTTTTTTATTTAGCCGGCATATATTCAAGCCAAAAATTTCCACTCCTGGCTTCTTAAAACAGTGGCTGCCTGCCCAGTAAGCTTGAGTAGCTGCAGTTAGATATTCAAAATTACACTCTCTGAAGTAACAAGAACTTGAAGATGGTGAGCATCCACAGAAAAAGCAGAAAAGCTGGGAGTTCAACCTTGATCTCTTTAGAAGACAGCAAACAGGGGTTTTTTTGATTGTAAAACACCTGTCCATGATGTGATTTATAAATCTAATTTGATGTATATGGCATGCATTTTTGTTTATATACTGTCTTTTCCCTCCTTCCCCTTTAGGTTGATGAGGTAATGCTTACCCTGAAACAAGCCTTTAGCACTGCTGCAGCTCTGCAAAATGCCAAGACACAGATTAAACTGTGTGAGGCCTGCCCTATGCATTCATTGCACAAACTTTGTGAAAGAATTGAAGGTAGCAGCTGAGTTTATTTTCTAATTGTGTTTTTCTGATAATTCTAGAACAATTTTTCTGTATCTGTTAATTTTAATTATGTCAACCATGGTCTTTCAACTTAAATAGTGTAAGAACAGAGAGAAAAGCATCCCAATACGCAGTTCTCGCCATCACTTTGCACTCTCTGTAATCATGTGTAGGTGATAGCAGTAATGATATTGCAACTGAATATAGTATAGCTTGTGTTATAAATACGTGCTCTTTCATCATTGTACCTCTCTTAAATGTTAAGCAGAGCAGAAAAACCCAAGAGTTCCTCTTCCATTTTTTTTTTCTGAAGATACATTCTTTACAACTGTCTTTCTATGAGCTGTTTTTAATCAAAAAGGGTCTTGCTTTCTTGTGTGTTCATTCTTTCCTGTGTGGGGGTATTTTTTCCTTCTTTTGTGTTTATTCTTTTACTGCAAAACCTAGTTCTATTAGGGGAAGTAAATGATTAAGTTAGGAGGTTAATATCTAATAAAGAAAACTAAATCAACTGCCTGGCTTCAAATATGAATACACAAACCTACATAGTTTCTCTGGAAGTGAGGTATGCCAGAACCCAGGCAAAAAAATTTTACAAGATAGACTTTTTTTTAAAAAAGTTAGTAGCATGATCCTGTTTTTATAGTCACTCCACTATGTCTCCTTGTGAAGTCTGTATGCAAAAAAAGCAAATATGTTACACTAGTCTTGCATCTTCTGGTCTGATGATGATGGTGCTGATAATTGCCAGTTCTCCCATTCATTAAAAGTCACTATTGCTACTTACCTCCCTCTGGTGGATGAAAAGCAATGTATAAAATCTTAGTGGAGTGAAATTCTGTTCAAAGTTGTGACTGGTATTTTCCGGGTTTACAACAGATATTCAGAAGTAATAAAAGCTTAACTGGGAAAGTCTTCTGTCAATGAAAAACTGTAGAGGCTGCTGTATAAGGCATTGTAAGTATCTTGAATACAGCTACTTGCAAGCCTGGGATAAGTATCCAGTATCAAAATAAAATCTCTTCTACGGTCACAATTTGAGTACCATAATAGTAGTTTCATAAACTTTGTCCTTAGTGACTGAAAAATTTATTTTAGTGTCCCTTTCTTTTTATCCGTCTGCTTTCAATTAAAAGTCTCTGAAAACTTCAGAGTATCTTGTGCACTGAGTATCTTTCCAGTTATATCCCTGATCTGTTCCTCTCTTCCTCCTCTCCCACACAGTTGTCAGGCTTCCATCTTAGTGATCTCTTGGTACTAGGACAGAAGACATCAGTGGGGTAGGGAGCACAACCTTTTACACAGGAGCCAGCCACTTAGCTGCTGCTAGTTCTGTTTTTACTGCTGAAGGAAGGAGACAAAACCATGTGGTTTAGCAAAACCCAAAGTATTTTGTATCATGGATACTGCAGATACACAACTGTCATATGTTAAACTTGTATAAACTCAAATGCAGGCTTATATCTTCTACTATAATTTTTTCAAAAGTTCTTTGAGAGATCATTTGAAAATCTAGAAGCTTTAATGTTCCTTTCTTTTCTCAGGACTCTATCCACCAAGAGCCAAACTTGTAATTCAGAGACATCTGTCATCACTAACTGATAATGAGCAAGCAGACATTTTTGAACGTGTTCAGGTAATATGTTAGACGCTGTTGTCTCAAATTTGAAAAAGACCATGTTAAAATGGACTAAATGTCTTTTGATTATGTTTCTTTTGTTACGTAGTTAACCTAGAATTTATTATTGTTCCACCAAACATCATACTGAAACAGCATGCTCCAACCTAATCTCATGTGTGATACGCTGCTGTCGGAAGAGTTTTGGTTCCCAAGTCTGCTGAGATGTTCTGTGTTCATACCCAGAGTATTTTTTTTCTGAGCTTAGTTCTTCATCTGTAAATGTATTTCCTTACTTGAAAGTGATGTGGGAATGAGTTGAGAGCAGGTGAGATACGCAGGTTCAAAGAGGTGGTTGGTATTTGCAGAAGCCTTTTGACTTATTCTGAGGCAAGATGTGTAAGCAAGTGTACTCAAGCAGATGAAGTACACAGTAATTTAGGCTTCCAAAGGCTGCTCTCCTCTCTAGCTGCCTGAAGAAGGGAATGCCTGTTTCGTTTTTGTGGGTTCCTTATTTCATTTATAAGGCTATACAATGGCAGGCAACCTTAGGAAACAAAATGTGTGAGCATAAGGTTCCCTCCTCTCCACAGCCTGTAACATTCTCCATATGGAAAGCTTTGGTCTATTTTGCTCAGCAGCATGAAGGCGTACAAACAGTAGTGCAATTTGACGCACTAATAGTGCACTCTAGCATCTGGCGTATCAATATATTAACTTCACAGAATACATGCATATGGAAGGAAAAATAAGCAAATCATGACTTGAAAGGCAGCTTTTTTCTTTTCTTTGCTGTTACTGACAGAAAATGAAGCCTGACAATGACCAGGAAGAAAATGAACTTGTGATCTTACATCTACGCCAGCTCTGTGAAACTAAGCAGAAAACGCACATTCACATTGGTGAAGCACCATTGGTAAAGCTTATGTTTTGTATTATTCCTCTCCCTCCTCCCACCCAATTAAAATGCAACCTTGAATACTAGCAACGCTGCTGCTAAGAGTTCATCAGGGATAGCTGAAGCTGGGTGTTGTAATTAAGAGAGGACTGTGAAAGAGAAGTAATTTGATTTGATTTACAGTGGCATGCTTGTTTTAAGTTTGGGGGGCAGGAAGGGAGGAAAGAAAGACAACCAATTACTTTTAGGTCTAGATTTCCTTACAGTGTGAGGATACCTCTTCTGTTCTTTTCCTTCCTCCCTGATTCCCACTCCCAAACAGTCATTTCTAGGGGGAATAGGGATGAAGAAGGCATTGGTTTCAGTTTAAACTACCAACTTATCTAGCAAAGGAAATAGATAACAGTATTGTTAAATTGATAGGCATTTACAAGGTAGTCTTCAGGGATGAAATGCGCATTTAACTGTGTCTTTTTTGTGGGCTTGGTTTTTTGGGGGGGTGGGGTTTTTTGTGCGGTTTTTTTTTGCTGTGTTTTTGGTTGGGGGTTTTTTTTTGGTTTTTTTGGTTTGTTTTTTTTTTTTAAATAAAGGCCAAGGGTATGTTATTACGTAACTTGGTTCAGCTCTAGTCTTTGGAGGTCTGCAATTGTAAAAAGAATTGCCAAAGCTGAATTGTGTCCTTGCTCATTTCAACAGACCATTTCGAACAGTGCGATTCCAGAAAGCACCACCAGTGGTGGCAGGTTTAAACTTGACATTCTGAAAAACAAGGCCAAGAAATCCTTGACGAGCTCTCTGGAAAATATCTTCTCAAGGGTAAGATTAACAGCTCATTGTCAGCAGCTCTCCCAGATATCCTTGACAGTAAAGACCGATCAGGTTTTTTTTTTTGGGGGGGGGGGGGGGGGGCTCTGCTCTCCTCAGTCTGATAAATACTTAATGAAGCAATATGCCTGTTGTGAAATCTGAGGGTTATAGCTGGGTTGATTGTGACTTAACTGTGCTAGAAAGTTTATGGTAAGGCTGTACAGAGGGAAAAAAGGCAACTTTTTCTGAATAATGAACGTTCATTGTAGGTGGCAAGTGAGTTAGCTGAGCATTATCAGATGTGTTGTTGCAGAATTTAAAAAAAAAATTATCAGGATGGTTGCATGATCCGATAGAGACATGTTATCTTTTTTTTTAAAGTATGACTAAATGTGCCTGCATGAACTGGAAATCTTTCTGTTCTGAGAAGTAATACCTTACCTGTCATAGATAAAATTACTCACATTGGTCCCTAAGAATCTTTAGAAAGTAGTAACAAAGTTGTCCTTTTGCAGGAGAGAAAAAAAAAGCAATAGATTTCAAGCTGCACCAGGGGAGGTTTAGGTTGGAAATTAGGAAAAAATTCTTCACGGAAAGGGTAGTCAAGCATTGGAACAGGCTGCCCAGAGAGGTGGTGGAGTTGCCATCCCTGGAAGCGTTCAAAAATGGGTAGACATGGCACTCTGGGACATGGTTTAGTCTAGTCGACCTTGATTGGTTTAGTGTGGACTTGGTAGTGTAGGTTAATGGTTGGACTGGATGATCTTAAACGTCTTTTCCAACCTAAATGATTCTATGATTCTATGAAGAAAGCAAAAGTTAGTTGTTCCTCATCTCAGTGTGGCTACACAGGTATGATGTAGAATTGCAGGTAATTACTGGAACTCTCTTATATTAAATAGCCTTTTAAAGACGTCTGAATTGCAAGTTTTGCTTAGCATCCCCTGCTCAGTAGGGAGAGTCCTGAAAGCAGAGAAGAGGCATATAGAGGAGTAACTGAAGAAGGCTGGGTGCCTGGGATCCAGTATGTTGTCACAGAGAAAGTGTGACAAGCTGTGAATACTGGATGACGAGGTCTAAATATAATTTGGAGCAGTGAAATTAAGTTCCTTTAAAACTACCATGCTGAATCAAGGCCTAAATTGCACTTGTCCTGCAGCTTATATGAGTGTGCCCTAAAGTAACCTGTAAACATCGGATGCCACAGATGTTCCTTATAAAGGACGCAAAATATTATTTGTCAAGGAGAATCCTTAGAACTGTTTGTACTTAAGGCTAGATGTGAATTTGACCTAGGACTGAAGCTAGAATTAAAACTCTCCTGGTCAGATCTGGCCTAAGTTGTGAAGCAAGTTTTACACAGTAGGGACTTGGTCTGAAGAGAAAGCTTGCACGCATGCAAAAGAGAGTGATGACAGTCAGAAGATCTGGATAATTTCAGCAGTCTGGAATATCATCAAATGGTGACAGCTACAGTCATGCCTGTGCTGAGTCTGATTTCTTTTCCACATCTAAAGGACATGTGACTGGAAAGTGATCTAGCTCTGACGGTGGGTCACTAACCCCGTGGTGGTTGTGGAACAGGCGTACATCACTGAGAATAAAACAGTAAAGCAGCCCTGCCATATACGGACATGCTAGTGCTCTGATCATGTCAAGGAAAAATCATTTAGATGAAATGCACTGCTTAAGTTAAAGAGTTTCTGAAGGGAAATTGCTTGTATATTGTTGGTTTTGATATAGTATGTTCCTTCTCACCAGGGCTGCTGTGACGTGCCGCATGTTATAGTGTAAGCATCAACACAGTCCATGATTGAGTACAAGAGAAGTGGACACCCGAGTCTGGATTAGGGCCATTTTAAGTTTGCTGTTTATGAAGCAGACTTTCTGTTGTGAGGAAGGTTGTCTAATCTTTAGCTTGAGACTGCAAGAGATCAGGAACAGCAGTAGTGAATCGTGATACACATAGGGGTTCATCCTCGCAGATGTGTTTAGAGATTCCGCAATGCAAGACCGAGAAAAATAATTTACAGTGCAGCTTAACCACTAATTATTTGGTTAAAGCAGGTAGCTGGGTTAGCTCAGTTGGTTAGAGCATGGTGCTAATAACACCAAGTTCACAGGTTCAATCCCTGCTCACTGCGGGGGGTTGGGCTCGATGATCTCTCAAGGTACCTTCCAACCCAAAGCATTCTATGATTCTATGATTCTATATACGACGAGTGTCTCCGTGCGTGTATACTGTGCGTTGTGTGCATACATGTGTTATACAGTGACTGTTTCAATAGTTCTATTTCTTCATCAAACTATTACAACAAGCCTAATCAATTGTGGCTAATTCCTGAAGGTATTTAGGCACCAAAAACCTATTGGCGTAGTAGTTTTTTTTCCTCCTCAAGCCAGCTGCAAATCACATGGTATTGATGTAATGGGATGCTAATTATCGCATGACTTATCATCTTTATTTTAAAGTATATTTAGTAACAAAGAGACCAGGGAAAAAAAATCATTTTTTTTCTAAAAATTGGCGTTCAGCATCTTTTTGTAGATAAAAAGATTTAAAGAAAAAGTAAAAGTTAGTATATGTGGGGGAGAGACTTATGCAGCCTTAATCTTAGCAGAATTAGAAATAAGTATGTAGTAACCAGATATCTAGGAACACTTTAAGTGGATGGCTTCTTAGCTAGATGAATAGCATCAAGTGATGTTTTAAGCTACATGAAGGACTAGCTGCTCCCTACTGACCATAGGGAAACATGCTGGGTTCTGTGCTCTGGCTTCCTTTAGTCCCAGAGGAATGTCACTTTTTCACTTGTTTGTTTTGCTGGACTGATCTTATTTTTGTCAGGTTTGAACTGAAAACAGGCTGTGGCTTCCTAATGAGGTACCTCAAAAAAATAAATACAACCTCTGTTTGACCTTATGAACAGATTTCTTCCAGCCTATGCTGCACTAACCTCTTCTGTTGTTGTTTTTTCTGAACCAAAAAGCCCTTCTTACAGTGCCAAAAGTGTGTGTTTTTAAAGCTATTAAGAAACTTCCAAGTTATGCTTTGCTCTTGTTTTATTGTGAGGGTCAGTGAAGAGATGCTTCAGGCAGAGTATTCATTGGTAATGAGCTTAAAAGGGGTAATGTACTTAAAGGGCACTCTATGTCTAGAAAATAAACCTTACCAGGATAAAGTAGGCTAAATAAATACTGCTGAGACTGACAAAACTTGCCCTGTAGTTGCAAGCATACAAAGAGGAGCTCTGCCTATAGTTTTCCTAAAACCTAGACTACTTTTCCCCTGATAAAGTACTGAAAGCAACTTACTTCAGCAGCTGGAAGTGTCCAACCACATACATCACCCATGTTTCATGGGAGTTAGGAGTGGAAGGTAGTCAAAGGTATTGCGGCTCTATCGCCTCTTCCTGTGAAACCAGATGACTGTTAACAATTTCGGCAAGGATCTGCTAACGCTAATTTCTAGCAAATTTACCTCAGGGTTATCTGCATTGTAATTGAAAAGGCTTGTTTGTATTTGGCGCTGTTTAGCTGTATTTGCAGCCAGAGAGGTTTTTTTCCCAGTTTTAGCGCTTTCATTACTTTTGCCGAGGTGGAATTAATTTGTATGAAATGTCTAGATATGGAGTAAAATCTGTTTAGATCATAGTGCGTCAGATGCATCCGTTAGCTGCAGTGCAAGCACAGTACTGAAGCCTGGAGCTTTTTGAACTCGGCTGTTTAAGCCAACTCAGCTCCAATGCCTCAAATGGATCAAGAAATACTCGGTTGCTTCAGACAACAGAGCTGTAGGTTTAAAACTCCTGGGAGCAAGGGGAGGAGAAGATACGGTTTTGCCAGCTAAAGACGTCACTGCTTGTAAAATCCAATGCTTGCCTTAAGTCAAATGTGTCACGTGCCTGAACTGTCCTGTGTTCACCTGCACAGCTGTTGCCATCTTTGCTTAACCTTCAGAAAAGGAGGAAAAAGACCAGATTAAATCACTCGCCTTTTTTCTTGCAGGGAGCCAACAGAATGCGAGGCCGCCTGGGAAGCGTGGACAGCTTTGAGCGCTGCAACAGCCTTGCTTCTGACAAAGTACGTAAGGAGCTTAGTTAAAATTGGCACATTGTCATGCAGGGGTGTTAATGACGTGTAAATATGGCATTCTGCTTCGATTTGAAGGAAGTAGCACAAAGCACATCAATTTACGAAACTCAAGTAAGAGTTTCCACTGCGAGGTGGAGGGTGTAAGAAAGCTGGCATATATCTTGACTTGAAGCTTCGGCTTTAACCTATGGTTTGATTGCCAGTCCGTTTTTTTCCTACACTTCCCTTGCTTTTACAAAAAGCAGGGAATTTCTGGTCAGCTTCTGCCTTGTTTCACTGAAGTAATTAAAAAATGTCATAACTTAACAAAAGGAAATGCTCTGGAGGTGAAGAATCCTTTCTGTAAGTAATAGTTGTTTTAGGAAGTAAGAATTTTTGACCTAAAACCAGCTGTTGGGGATGCTGTGTGGGGGCAAGTGGGCGGAACTCTGTTCACTTTCTTTTTATTTCCTGTTTTTAATGTTTTACATCACGTGAGGATTGGTTGTTGGTTTTCCCAGGAGGTGAAGATTCTGTTATGGTTTTACTGCTACAGTAAAACATAAACTGGCTGTGTAATAACAGTCTCTCTTCCAGGATATCGCTATGACGGTACAGGAAGTATGCTCGTGATATGTCGAGGACACTAGCTAAAAGCAGTTTCCCTAGTCTTTTCAATTCCCGTGTTTTCCCGAAAGAGCCAGAGGTCTGGTAGCTGGAATGCCG